TTTAGTTTCCCCTGGAGGCCTAATCTTTACAAAAGATTTTCTTGCAACTAAATATGCAAATTGTGAAAAAATTCACTACCCCTCGCCTTGTGAATGCAGCCTCATCAGTCCAAAGTATTTCTAGTTAGTAAGAATTCTAATAACCACTGAAATTAAGGCGTCTATCTGTAGCTCCCGGAAGTAAATTTTGCACAGGTTGTAATGGTACGGATTTCTGCCATCCTTATGCAGTACTTTTCAAATTTTCGATTTACTCACCCCAAATTGCCAAGACGTTCTTCGTGTACTTAGCCGAGGATTGTCGTCAAATACTCTTAAAATTTCATTTATGTGCCTTTCATTGCTCCATCGTGATTTTCCAAATATCGCTTTAATCCAAAAAGATGAAAGCGGCGAGTGTAAAGAATTTTGTTGATATGCTTACAAATTGCACTTAGTTTTAAGCATAAACATAAATATTCTTAGAATATTATGATTAGAAGTGTCTGCTACAAGGGGATTGTGTTGGTACGAGAACGGCGAACTTTAGGGAAAAAATTCAAGTTACCTTTTTTACGTATTTTGTGCAATAGAATATAAATCCGTTACAATAGCATGTAAAAAATATAGTGGCGTAAGTTTTTTTATAAAAAAGGGGGTGACTCCGTCTAGTTGTACACCAGTGGTTGACCCTTTAGAGCTCATATTTTAGGGAATACAAGGCCTACTATCATACATTATCTGTACTAAATTTTATTGAAATGGGTTAATAGATTCCGGAAATATACGCAAAAAATATATATATTTTTAACAACTTCAACACCCTGTATCTCTAAAACGAGGCCGTTTCAGACCTACGTTTATAAGGTAAACACCTACTATTTTAAAGAGATCTATCTGCCCTCGAAGTTTCCTGCATAAAATTCGGACCACCCTGTATAAATAATCATCTTTATAAATTGCTAATTTGTACCAAAACGGTAAAATCTGTAAAAAAAGGTGAATTTTGGTCAAAATAAAATTTGATGTTAAAAATAAAAAAAAAACTAATTCTTTTTAGTAGCATGTCACATTTTTTGAGAAAAATGAACTCGGTACATCTCGTATGTACGCTACTGATTTGAGGTGACTGTATACTGAAAATTACATTTCAATATCTTCATTTCTTCAAAAGATATTTAGATTTTGATTAACTGGTGTGTTAATCAAAATAAGAAAGTATGTTTATTATTGCCGTTTGCATCCTCAAAGTTTAATTTAACGACAAAAATGATTTGCTCATTTTATTTTAAATCAACGGGGTACTAATCTAGGAGGCTTAAGTGGTCGTTTAATCAATTTATAACATTATTTTTATTGAAGACATGATTTCGATTTTGTCAGAGCTGACTAAACAGTTGCAATGCTTACACGGTCACAAACTTCAAGTGGGATAAAAATAATGCCTGATTTTTAAGACAAATTGAACTATTACAGCAGATGTAAGATACCTTCGTTTATTTTCGAGTTATGTACAAGGTTATACGCATAACTGCCTGAGTATATTTTCCACTGTTAAAAATACTAAACAAATCTTAATCTTATGCTCTATTAATAAAAAAGAGTGTCATTATAAAAGTTGTTTTATAAGTGCATAGGTATATAATATATAATAAATACACTGATAGAAATTGTACTATTTGTAATGATTTTTTTACACGAAAAATGTAAATGAATTAAACGCACATGATACGTGTCCAATTGAACAATGCGCGCGCGAGCAAACGGTGTATAACACAGCCGCACTTGGCGACTGGGCCATAAATCTCAGTTGTTGACAAGTGGTTGACAAATTGCCCAGCAGTGCAGTGCAGCAATGTGGAATTTGGTGCGATTCAGGTAATTTTAATATATTATAGGCACCTTCTGTTAATCATTCATATGACAATTTTGAAACGAAGTTTACCATAAATAAATAAAATTGTTTGAGAACATAAATAATTAAAATATGTTGTGGCCAAATGAACATATAGGTAATAGATATTTTCTACACATATATAAATTATTGTAATTTTTTAGTGACGCCTATGAAACTCATTAAATTTTATTGTTAAGCGTTTTTATACATGTTGTTTTCCGAACTGACTTCGGAAAAACTATACATATTGCTTATTTAATCATAGTTAAAGAAGTCTATGATTTATACAAGCTTTATATGGTTTTGGAGAGTAGGAAAACGTATTTGGTAGCTCACTTTTAAATTTAAATATTGAAAGACGTCACTAAAATAATGTGTTTAAAATTAAATATATACTTTGTCCAATAAATAAATTAAATAAGTACCCTGGTAGTAAAATCTTGCACAAGACACTTATACAAGACTGCTGTGTACCTACTGCTGAAATCAGCATCAGGTTTACTGCAAGATTCATCGTGCAATTGTCTTGATCAAAGCTTTCGATGGATTTGATTCAGGACACTTAAGCACAAAGGAGTAAATTAAAGCAAGTGACTATGTTGCAGACTTACATTAGAATTAAGTAAGACATATTGTACTTGACTTATACTAATTCATCCCTTTGGACTCAAGTCCTTTTGGTTAAGTCTGGTGAAAGTATTGTAAAAGTATCTTGCATAAGAAACGATATAAATTTCAGCAATAGACACAAAACAATCCGACACAATTTGGCTATTTCAAGTAAACTTGAAACAACTTGTATTAGAATTGCACACGATTATGCTACCAGAGTAGGGAGGCTTTTTACAGAGATTGCTTTATATATTTTTAATTTTTACTGACTTCGTCAATTTAAACCTACTATACCAAATTTGCCATTGTACAATTATTATAAGAAAGCCGTTTAATTGATTAGTTTAAATAATATTCCCGTATTATTTAGTTTTAGATATACATAATTCAGAAATGTATATTTTATTATAGAGAATGTGTGTCATTTACTGCATTAATAAATCTAAATTTATTCAATGCTATTTTCCCTTCACTTACGTCGTAACCAGTCGTGGAAAAATATTTCAATATGTAAAAATAGATATTTACACCATAAAGTATTATTTACCAATCGAGAACGATTTTGCGCCCGAGCTGGCAATAGAGTCCGAAACTGGTAAATTATACTTAACTGCTGTGTGGTATATAACATTTTGATCTGCTCGCACAGTTCTTTATGGTGCATGAAATAAAGATTAGGTTTTATTTTTTGACATTTCTTCATTTCATTTTGACATTGTTCCGAATCTTGTAAAGTTGCCTTGGTTGTTTGGATTTATATCGTTTCTAAGGCGTTTATAAACAAAGTTTATAACATAAAAGTTGCAATTTTGCTGGTTTTGAATTATTATTTCTAAATGAGTGATTTTCAAATAGAAAGTGGCCAAATGCTGCCTGCGAATTTTTATTGTCCGAGAAGTCGAAAGTCAACTATTTTCGAAGAGGAGAACGTGGATATATCAAAATACCCCAAGCTGAGAGAATTTTTGAAACGTAAGAATGACGGCTATACACCTAAAAAGTCAAACGTTTTTACAAGAGAACAAGTCAACGATTTTCTCGTTCACCCAATAACACATATTTACAAGGCACCCAATAACACATATTTGCTAATGAAAGTAGTGACGGTCTTAGGTATTGCAGGAGCACGCCGTTCTGATGAGTTATGCAAACTTACTTGGGACAACGTCAATTTCAAAAATTTCGATGACATTATTGTAGTTACAATTCCAGATTCTAAAAATGATATGTCACGTATGTTTACAATTATGTACTTCTCGTCTGGGTTCTGTTTCTCACCTAGAAATTCTCAAGTAATATATCAAGATTAGATTGAAAATTAAAACTGAACTTTCACGCTTTTTTATGCGGTATCAAGCAGGTAGATGTTAAAACCAACCAGTCGGCAAGAATGCCCTTTCTATGATTCCTAATAAGATTGCACAGTTTTTTAATCTAGAACATTCTGAAACATATACAGGCCATTCATTCCGAAGAACATCGGCAACGTTTCTGGCTAATACAGGAATTGATGTATTAGCAATCAAGAGACATGGTGGGTTGAAATCATAGATTTATTAGTATAGATCTATGCTGGAAATAAGCCACAATTGTAGAATGTTATGTTGCTGACAGTTTAAGTAACAAAAATGAAATAGCCAACAGGATTCTTTACAATGACACTTCAATTCCAGGTTCTAGTAGTACGTGTTTTAATGGATCAGTGAGATAATATTGAGCGTCCGGTGACTGAAATGGATTTTATAAATGTTACTAAATGTAATGTAATTATTAAGTACTATAAATATTCTTTCATAATAATTAATAAAATGTAATGTTTATCAAATATTTCTATTTATTTGTTCATAAAATATGTATTTACCTCCCGTTGTCTACAGTAACTTCCACTTCTACGGTAAAATCCACTTACCTCCTTAAAAAAACAATGTAATAGTCTACTATAGTGGGAGCAGATAAAATATATTCTTTCTAAAAATATAACAAAATAATAAGGTCTAGACTTTTTTCTTCTTAAAAATACTATGTAATTTTCCTGTTTTTTAGTAAAACTATACAGTCGCAAATATACGTATATCGACAATATAAATTTACGTTATGGATGAATTACACAAAAAGTGGAAAATTACATGCTTATAGCTTTTACTTGTCTGATGTAATATTACATTACCAACTGTCACTAGTCTCTGTGTAGAACTACCTGTAGAATTATTCAAAATAGTAATTATTATTCTATTATTGACAAAGTCAAATTGATTAATAAATAATAATTATTATTTTTGATAAGCAATAGTGTCACCAGAAATACCAGCATCACATGAGAAATCGCTTTAATTAATTTATTACAACAGAAGTTGATAGGTACCTCAATTTCGCTTCCAAAAAATTGAAATTTTCAAATCTTTACTGTTTGGAAATATATATTTGCACTTATTTCGTATTACATTTATGTACGATAAAATCGACGATGAATTGCATACATTATCAATTTTTATATGTATTTCATAAAACTTACACAGTTGCAATGTCAGTTTAGTTGGTATCTTGAGGTAGCTGATACTCAAGCTAGTGTCAGACTAATTACCTACACATCACCATTCGAAACAACTAAGCAATAAAGGAAACTTATAATAACAGCCTTTGGAAACACATATTCCCAACAGTTTTGTTATTTATCATGAAACATTTAACCTTGTTTATATTTAAAGGAATATTAAACGTATACCAGAAGTTATAATGAACGTGATTAGATAAAGCACTAATTTAGTAGCCGTTTGGCGTTAACTATCCCAGAAAGTATATCGATGTGTTTAAATTGTTTTCAGTGATATGGTGTATTAATTACCTATTCTTTATAGTTTGAACTTTAACTTATCTTTTTCGTGATAAATATGAGTTCCTGTTTAAATAACAAATAATTATTTACAGGCTTATGCAATTTGCATAAATACACATACAAGATAATATTTTTTTAGAAGCATTAATACAAAACTAATGAACTGCTCGAAGTTTCTAATGAGGCATCCCCTAAATGTGGCCACCCAATGACATGTTTACTTTAACCTATTAGGCTTGTTTCTTCAGCAATCTCTAACGGTTTCCGATTGTTCGGAACATGCTCATTAATTTTGATGATCCAAGTTGTCCGATACTGGCCACTTGATCAACTCATACAGATTGTAGCTGAATCCAATGTTAAACAATTCCAAACAGATGTTACTCACACAGATTTTTCGAAGGCATTCAACGGGCTTGATCATAAAATATTTCTGACAAAGCTTAATAAGTTTAGTCTCTCAAATTTCCTGTTAAAATTATTTGGATACTTAAAGGGTGTAAGTCTATGGATTACTCAGCCATATTTGGAGTTCCACAGGGGTCTGTTCTTGGGCCCTTGCTGTCCAATTTCATTAATTCATTTTTATCAATGATATAACCAGATATTAATTACCTTTCTCTATGCGGATGACTTGAAAATATTTTCAACTATTGCGAACATCGACTATTATATACGTCTTCAAAATAATTTAATTCAAACTGACAACTGGTGCCAATTGAATAAACTTCGGATGAATGTTATGAAGTGTAATAAAATGTTTTTCACTTTAAAATCTTTGAAAATAATATTTGACTATAATTTTAGCGGTTTTACTTTAATTAATATCTAATAATAATAAATATTTTTCGCGATCTCGGTGTTATTTTCGGCGACAAACTATCTTTCAATACACACTCCGAGAAAATAGTATCTGTAGCGTGTAAATCATATGTGAGAAACGATAAAGACTTTGTTTAAATAAACATGCTAAAAACTTTGTATATTATTTTTTTCGATCTAAGCTTGAATTCAGTCATAATGTCATTAATTTTAAGAGCAGATAGAGAAAAATGAGTATAATACGATGGCGTAATTAAAAAAAAAATAAATGCATATTTAAGCAGAAAAAAAAATTTTCAAATCATTATTATATATTTTCGCTTATATAAAGACAATAAATAAACGGTTTGCTCACGTCAGCAAATAATAATTTAAAATGTTATACATTATTTTTTATAATTATGCAATCAACACATTAAATTGTTATTGTTGCCCAGCAAGAACCTGGAGGAGGTCTAAGCATGCCTTGCCAAAAATCATCAGTTTTTATTAACATCATAATGTTAATTTTTTGCTGTAAGCCTTGGGGCTTAGTATTATGACTATTATGGCTGCAAAGAAATTAGTTTTGTTTCACTTTAAATAAAATTTAATATTGAAGTTACAAAACTCCAAGAGTTCAAGTAATTTAAATTTCATTTCACAACCATTTCAATTTCATTACAAAAATAATGACATATAAAACCAACACTCACTAGATACATTATAAAGAGAGGGTGAAATGTATGTAGTATTTAAATATTGACTGTAATTAATAGAAGATAAAAAACAATCGGACGGAGACAAATAAACAACTCGGTACGTGTTTCCGACCTAGCTTAACCTGTATCTAGGTCAATGACCCACATTTTAATTTGCACGTGTACAAATAGTCCAGGAGCCAGATAGGGTGCCATGGCCAACAGACAACAGAGTGCCACGGCTGCAAACAACTTATTCGTATTCGTAGTATTTTGAGCTCCTGAATCCAAATCACTTGGTCGCAAAGCCTGAAAGTGGTGAGTTTAATTGTTATCAACAAATCAAATGTTTAAATGGCTGTAAAAAGTTTTTATTTTTATAGCTAGTAAACGGAACCCTATCTGGCTCCTAGACTAATACGAACTGCAAAGTAGAGCAAAAAGTTGTCGGTCTTTTATCAAAGGAAAATTGAAAGTAATGAATACGGATGATTGTTTTCCAATGTACGGTTATTACAATTTATCATTTTTAATATTATTAACGTTTTAACGTTTTATAATTTATTATGTTAAATACTACACAGTATTAGTATTTCAATTTATTATTCAATATGCAGTTGCGTATAACCAAAGTTTACATAATAAATGTAAACTTTAGTGTAAATCTAAACTTTGGTGTAACCTAGGTAGGCACTTATTGTTTTTGAGAAAGCAATACTTATGTTTTTTACCTGTTTAAAATGCCAGCACGAGTAAAACAGCATTCATCCGTCCAGAGCACTTTGTTAATAAAGTTCTGCTGCACTTAGGAACCAATTGCAAAATTCAAGACGATTGGGGAAATCAGCTGCTTCTAAAGCTTGAACTTTTTGAAAATGTGTTATGTTAACTCCTTTGCGGGAAAAATGCGGGAGATATGGAGGGTGGTAGATTTGAATAAACGCTTTAAATTGTTAGGTAATGGTTTTGTAACCGTGTGTAGTGTATTTTGTATATTTGGGTATTTAGTAGTGTGCCGACTTTTTTATTTGATAAAATGCGGTGTGCCTACAAACAGGTAACTACCTCTGCTTTATTTATTTTCTTTTAACGAAAGTTGACTTCGAGAGTCAGGCTTGTTAAAACATTCTGCACTAAGTTAATACAATTGTTCAAATTATTTATAATAAAATGCAGCATGCTCCTTTATTTACTTGAATACGTTTAACAGTAAATGTGAACCACACATTATGATGTGAACTTGGCAACGCTGTTCGGTTCAGCCGACAACTGTTCGTGACATTACTTTACGAAATTTTCCGAGCATCCGGGCATCTGCCAGGGCCGCTCTCGTAGCGGGAGTTATGGGTTGATTTCCTTCATTTTTAAAAGTCGAGTAAAAAAAATTTTTTTTTTTTGATTTTCTGTCTTTATTAAGCCTTCCGAATACGCAGTTAAAATTAATGACATTATGACTGAATCGCCCTGTATATGCTGCTCCCGTTTGTTCTCACAATTTATTTATACAGAATATAGAAGCAATACAAGGAAAGTTTATTAAATTTCTTAATTTTAAAATAGATGGTGTGTTTCCACCTATTGGATTTCCACAATCTGAACTGTTAGATCGACATTCGTCGAAAAGTCTTAATTTAATGCGTCGTTGCCAATGTGTAATATTCTTATTTAAAATTTTGAATTGATTGTCCGGATCTTTTGCATCAACTTAATTTTCACGTCAATTCAAGAGAGGGAAACACTTTTTATAGCTCTACTCCACGTACAAATATATTAAAATATTCGTCTATTTACAAAGTGTAATTATTATAATTTATTAGAAAATCAATTGGATATTTTCAATTCCAGCGTTACCAATATGAAACCATTGAATTTTAGCTGATATTTTTTTTAAATGCAATTTTTAACTATTGATATTCTGTTTTTATTTTAATTACAAAATAGTTTTTAAGAACGTATTTTTTTGTCTAATTCTACTTTTGTTGTTTGTTGTAGTTTTTTTAAAGTTTCTTCTGTAATTACTTTTTCCTCTTTACCCTCCTGTTCTGCAGTTGGGTTTTTGCACATGTAGAAAAGTGTATCAATAAATAATAAAATAAATAAATAAACTTTTTAGTTAATTTTGAATGCACTCGTATTTCCTTAGAATTTTTGGAGATGTGCTAGTTACGTTATTAGTGTTTTTTTTTAATTACTAATTATGGTCTAAATTAAGTAAAAAATATGGATCATTAGGATTAAAATTGTAGTTCCCATAGTAATATCGTAAATTACAGGGTGTTTATTACACATACGGCAAAAATTCAAGGGGTTTCCCTGGACTATTCTAAGAATATTTTGTCCTTTGATGATTTTTGAAAAGCCGCTTTGTTCCGAAGATAAAGGGCGAGAAAAATTTTCGACAAAACTAATTGTATAAAAGTATAACGTACTACACTGGGATTGTCGAGTATAATTTTTTCTTGAAAGAGAAAAGGGAGGATTTCCTGACCGTAATGTTCCTGATAGAAAAACCTTCCGAAGTATTCATCAACGTCTTCATGAAACAGACGCAAGACCAATGACTGTAAGAACGGTAGGAGGTGAAGAGAATGTGATGATCATGTTACAAGTAGATCCAGGTACTTCTACTCGAAAAATTGCAAATACTTTGAATGTAAGTAAGGAATATTCTTTGGGACTATTTGTTATACCCACACCACATACAGCACGTTCAAGAACTTCCTGCTGGTTTTCCTCTACGTATTGCATTCTGTCAATGGCTTTTGCACACATTGGTTCAAATTTTCACAATAACCATGTGAGGGCTGAAGAAAATTCACATGAGGTACCTGAAGATCGTTTTCAACATCATTTCTCGTTGAACGTTTGGGTTGGAATTGTGATTGACTATCCAATTTGACCGGTATATCTACCAGGAAGACTTACCGGCGAGGTGTTTCGCAATTTTTTGGAATAAACGCTACCTCAGTTTCTGGAGGATGTATCATTCGCAACAAGAAATGCAATGTGGTTTATGCACGATGGTGCACCAGCGCATTTTAGTGTGGTTGCTCGTGAGTTTTTAATAGTAACATACGGAGATCGCTGGATTGGTCGTGGTGGATCTCACTTATCGCCTGCTCAATCCGCGGACTTAAACCCCCTAGATTATTTCCTGTGGGGCCATCTAAAGACATTAGTTTGTACTACTCCAGTTGAAAATGTGAAAGATTTAAGAAATCGGATAATTGCTGGGTGTGACTTAATAAAAAACGACCCTGGTCGGCAGTCAATGAAGAGAAGATTGGATTCTTGCATCCTAGCTGGAGGTAGTTATTTTCAACAGTTCTTGTAGATTAAGAAAATGTTGTTATTGTCGAAAATTTTTCCCTGCATCTTCGGAACAAAGCGGCTTTTCAAAAATCGTCAGGTCAAAATATTCTTGGAATAGTCCAGGAAATAACCCCTTGAATTTTTGCCGATGTTTATAAAACACCCTGTAAAACATTTTTCCCTCTACTCTCTTTGACTTTCAGCAAACCCCTCTTATAACATATAATGTCAGAAAAGTTTAAGGTTAATCGCACTTATTTAATGTCCAATTTTTGTATGGAATGTCAAAATCTAACTAAACAACTGTTCTTGCACCGCAATATCCATAATCAAAATAGTCCACAATCGCGTCTGCATGATAAAAGCTGTTCGCAAACTATTAGAAATGTACTGCAGAAACAAAGTTATTAGTTTTGTTGGCACGTGGCAACTTCCAACATATTACCAATTTTTATAAGCGCACGTGTGGTTTCGGATTAATCTGGAATTAATTGGTTGTAAATTTTATGCTCTGCGATTAATACTGTTGCCAAAATATTGCCAATTTTTATATGCGCACGTGCGGTTTCGGAGTAATGTGGAATTGGTTGTTAATTTTATGCTCTGTGATTAGTGCTGCTGCTGTCATCAGTGCTTTCAGGTTATTTTATGTTCGCATCTAACCCAAAATATTATATTTTTATTTATAAAACAAAAGAGTTAATTTTTATTTTAATTTGATTTTCTTCAAGGCTGATTTTGATTTATGCCCAGCAAACACACAAATTGCGGCACTTAATTGGCCCAGTGCTGTTATCGATGGCTTTTTGATGGCTCTGGCGAGCCATTTGTGGCCTAATGTATGTTATTTACTCGCTTACCATAAATCTGTACAGTTACCTATTGCCACAAAATGCCCAAATGTGGTCAATTACCAACTGACCATAAATAAGGCAATTTCAGTTTATGCTATGATGGCCTTTTTATGGTACATTAAAGAAAATCATCTAACTTTTCAAGAGACGTATTTTTAAACAGCACGCATGCGCCATTGCCTGCCACTTGACCACGCCGACGCCGATTGCGAGTATTGCGACTGCCGAGTGTCGACCGACGCCATTTGCATTTTTTGTTTGTGAATAAGACGCAATAAGACTAATGGTGAAATTGTATTGTGTGAGTGCTGCAGAGAGCAGTTCCAGTATTTACGTTTGAGATTATGGAGAAACCAAAACAGTAAGTAGCTGTCGCTTAAATCTGTGAAATATGAAATATGGTTGAAATATCTGGGGTTAAAATAGTACACTGGGACAGTTTTGTAGAGGATAAATTACCTATGTTAACATGATACATCCATAGATAAAAAGGATACATCCTTAAACTGTTTCCTTGAAGGTGTCCAATAGAAAACCGTCCCAGTGTTCTGTTGCTTGTACATATGATATTCATAAGGTTATGTTTCTTGCAAATAGGTCCTTCAAAAAACTTTCAAAAAGGCAAGAAAATAGAATTGTTAGACAGAAAGTTTGTAAATTTACTGCTAAAGATAAAGCGGAGACTGGGAGTGATGGTGCTAGTTCTAGTGGTACTTCGGGGGGGTCTACTTCTGACAACCAAAAGGTAGTTAAAAATCAAATCACACCATTCACCTCTAAAAAACTTGACATCTCTAGCAAGACATCATCATTAAGCATAAATATTGAAGAACAAACGCCATTAATCCACGGTAATTATTACTGTGGGAATGAAAATGATAATATCTCCGTTGGAGATGTTGACGTTCCGGATATTTCATTTGAACAATGTAGCAAGGAAAAACAGTCACATGCAGAGTTTTTAGTTAATTGGAGTGTAAAAAATAACATCACCCATACAGCTTTATCAGGACTTTTAAAATGGTTACATACATCTCCAAATGGTTTATCAAATTTACCGTTAGATGCTCGAACTCTATTAAATACACCTAGAAATTTACCTACTGAAGTAATGGGTAATGGTGAATTTTATTACTTTGAATTAAAAAAACAACTAATTGGTACATACTTACAAAATAATTTAACAATAGATACACTTGAATTAGACTTTAATATTGATGGGCTGCCTCTGTTTAAAAGTTCCTGCTTACAGTTCTGGCCCATATTGTGTAGAATTTTTATTTTAAATCGAAATATCGATCCTTTTCCAGTTGGCATATATCTTGGCAAAAGTAAACCGCCTTTGAATAATTTTCTGGAGTAGTTTTTCAATGAGTTAAAGTTTATTTGTAGTAATGGATTAAATTTCAACAGCCAAATCGTTAATGTAAAAATAAGATCATTTTGTTGTGACACACCAGCCAGAGCATATATTAGGAACACCACGGGGCACAATGCATATTTGGGTTGTGATAAATGCTGTATTAGAGGTGAATATTCCAATAGACATATGTCATTTTCACATATCAATCAGCCTTCACGACTGCATGAAAATTTTAAAAATCAAAGTTATACTGGTCATCAGAAGGGCCCCACTCCCTTGAGTAAATTAGATATTGATTTGATATTTAGTTTTCCTACAGATTATATGCAGTCAGTTTGCCTTGGTGTAATGCGGAAACTTTTGTTTGTATGATGTGACAGTGGTAGACCCTATGAAATTACTAAAGAATCTATACGAAATTTAAATGAGCAGATACTAAATTTATCTAAGTCTTGGCCATCAGATTTTAACAGGAAACCTAGAAGTCTAGTGGAATTAGAGCATTGGAAGGCAACAGAGCTTAGGCAATTTTTGTTATACGTTGATCCTGTATTATTGAAAAAAATTTTTCCTAAAAAAATATTTAAGTAATCATTTTATACTGCTTTTATTTGCAGTTAATATTCTTTTAAACATACATTTAAATAAAAATTATAATGAGTATGCTCATAAGCTATTGTGCTGTTTCATAAAACACTCAATATATATTTATGGCAAGGAATTTGTGTCTTATAATGTCCATGCTCTGTCCCGTCTTTCTTCAGATGCATTAAGATTTGGCTCTTTAAATAGTGTAAACTGTTTTGTCTTTGAAAATTATTTGGGTTGTTTAAAAAGAAAGTTACGCAAAAGTAATCAGCCTTTGCAACAAGTCTGCAAAAGAATTTTAGCAACTAAACTCTCAGGATACAGAGAAGGTAAATGTGAATACGATAAAATCGACGTCACGAAATTTTGCAAAAGATCACATATGTGCTTTGTGCTAAAGAATAAACAAATTATTGAAGTCTCGGATGGTGCAGATGAAATTTTTTATGGAACACAATTAGACGTTTTAGGACATTTTTATGATTATCCCACTGATTCAACCTTAATAAATAATTTCTTGGTTAGAAAAAGCGATAGCAATATATCGTGCAATAAGGAAGATATTCAGTCGAAATGTCTTTTAGTTCCAGTAGAAAATGAACAATATTTTTGCTGTCCGCTTATTCATTTTTTTGATTAAAATAAACCTCTACTATCACCTATTTGGTGTTGCAGTTTACAATTTATCCAACTTTCTTTTCATATTGTTTAACCTTGTTAGCAAACAATGTGTAATCATTTTATCTTTTTTTTTTGTTAAAATAATTTTTTTGTAACTATTTGATCACATACCTTCATGTACATTACATTTTGTATATTGTACCTACTTATGTGTAGATGTAAAAGTATATTATGTATATGTTTCTATGATAGCTCTTATTTGATCGTGGAGTTCCCTCAAGAGTCGGGTGAGGATGGCAGTATTCCGACCGCAATTGTATCGAGTTCGTGGGCATTTGAGGATTCGACTGATAACAAATTATGCTGCTGGTGGCCAAATTTCAAATCGGACGAACAGAGGAAAAAAGCTGTTATTCAACATAAGGAAATTGACGTTGAAAATTGTGTACCATGCGAGATCAACATGAAATACAAAACTGGTAAGTTAACTATCTGGAGAAATAAAAAAAATAGTACCTATTGTTGTTATTTTGTGGCAATGTGTTTTTTGCCGATTTAAATTTCAATATAACATGGAACAATAATTTTTAATGATCAGAAAAATTATTGAACTTCTGTAAATTTTTTTCATTTACTACTTTTCTGTTAGGGTAATGAATTTACTATCCTACTTTTAGATGCATATCAGAAAGCTGTTTTCAAGTTGAAACAGTTAGAAAGAGATTCAGACATAAACACAGAGGACGAAAAACGTCCAACAAGGGGAGTGCAAAAACATTTAGATTTCACGAGTGGTTCAGACTCATCATTGTCTCCTCCAACTCCACCAGGAAAAAGAAAACGGTGTTCTAAAGAAACACAAATAAATGATGTACAAGTATCTTCCAAGTCAATTACATTGGATGATGATATCAGTAACTTGCCTGTATGTACATCATGTGAGACTGTTGAAGGTAAAGCACTTTATAATTGTAAATATTATCTCTTTTTTATATTATCTGCTGTTACATATTTGCACCTCATTAATTGAATAAGTTCTAGTTAAATCAAAAGAATTATATATATATTTTTGTTTTAGTAATGTGTGCCAGAATATTAAGTGTAGTTGAAAAAAATTCTAGAAAAATTGAAAACTTAACACAGATTGTCAATGCGTCTATTACAGAAAAGCTGGATGGTAACCAATTACCTACATTGGTTGAGCTCAATAATTTACCCATGAAAACTGAAGAAGATATAAATTACATGGACCAAAATTTAAGCAATAGGGAGGAGTACTTGGAAATGGTAAGACCATTGTTTTACTAATAATTAGTCCATTAATTTATTTGAAAAAATATTATTAAGATTTAGTGACTATAATATATTAAATTATTTTTTATGCCTACTTCAAACTCAAACTGTGTTTATATTTAATTTATTATTTTTAGTTGAATGCATTAAGATTCGTTGGAGGAAAAGACGTATTTGATACAACTCGTAGAATTATGCCCAGACTTATAACTAACAATTTAGCATTAAAAGTTAATTGGACTGGCAGGAATGGGAAACCGGCTTTCAAAAACTACTCAAACATTTTATCACTACTGTCAGGTAAGCAGAGATGTTAATTTATTAATTGAAAAGATCTTGTATTTAAATCTAGTAAATCTCTTTATCGATTTAGTTTTTGAGAGTTTTTATTCCATATTCCAACATTATGTAGCCATATTTAGTTTCATTTATAGAAAGGTTCTAGGAGTTTCTGCCTTGAACGGCCCTTTTTATTTTTTTAATTTTTTCGTTTTTATGTACTATAGACATAACCACTAATAATTATCTTACACTATAGTTTAATTATCATAACATTTTTAGAATTAATAAGAGGGAATCCGTTATCAGCAAATGCAACCGAGAAGGAAATATTTGGAGTTGTGAAGGCATGGCTTCGAGGTGCAATTGATAGGGAAGGTGGTCGGGGGAAAAGAAAGAGTAAGTATATTATTTTTACCAATACTTATTAAACTAGTCGAAATTTACGTCAAGATAAATGCAATAATTTGGAGTTCCCTTTATGTTATTTTTTGTGTTTAAAATAAGGGGTCCTGTTTTTGCATTGAACTAGTTTTTTCTGAAACGATATTACTGACATGAACAGTATTTTATTTTATTTGTAATGCAAATAGTGGGACAAGTGCAACATTAGAATGATATATTCTAATTTAACTCTACCTTTCATAATTTGCCTTTGACTCTGCTAAAAATTATTTCTAGGGTTCATGTACTTTTCTTTTTGCAGATAACTCAACGGAATGAAGAATGAAGACTTAATATTAAGTATATACAATTTTACAATTTTTATGTTTTTGTTTTGGAGTTTATATTTTGTTTTCAGAATTATACAGGGTGTTCCTTAAAGACATACTAATATTTCAGGGTGTGACTCCTAAGGTATTTTTATGAAGAAAAGTTCATATGAACATAATAACACATCGGCTTAAATTTTTTGCAACAGGGTGTTGAATTTTTGTTTTTTTTTTTTCGTTATTTTTGAAAGTACCAAAGTATTTTAGATATTATTTTCAATTTTGGTATGTGTTAATAGAATATAAAACCACATATTTTAGTAAATAGTAGTAGTAAAAGTAAATAAAAATGTCAGATCAGAACATGTTTGCAGGGGCGCCACTGATGGGGTGATAGAATAACTTTTCTAACTAAAATATGTTATATATCATATTAAGACATACCAAAATTGAAAATAATATCTGTAGTACTTTCGGAGATATTAAATATTAACGATTAAAAAAAAACAAAAATTCAAGACTAGTAAAAAATTTAAGCCGTTGCAGACATATGTTCATATCTTCATAAAAAGACCTGAGGAATCACACCCTGAAACATTAGTACGTCCTTAAGGAACCTGTACATATATTATTTATATTTAAATAAATACTTATTGTTTTCTTACATCTCAGTTTGTTTTTAATACCAGACCTTTTCCAAATGTCTAGAATTCACTGAAAGGTCATCACCTAGCAATGAAGGTATTGTTTAATTTGTTATCAAACATTTGTTAATATTAGATTCTTTAAAGAACACAGTAAATTTTTCCAATTTCTTATATTTTTTATAAAAATTTCCGGCTAATCAAGTAAGCAGTGAGTGTAAGAGGACAAGGAACAAATTCGATTAGATCATACCAATTTTGTTTGGGTAAAAGTGTACAGACCATTCAATTTTTATTTAAGATATCCATTTTTTCCATGAAATCGAACCTTTACATGATTTGTCCTCCAGTATATAGTATGACTTCATGCAAAAAAGCAATCAGTTAACAATACAAATCGATTGTACTAGTGTTTTTACAAAAACAAAACTGGTATGATATCGAATTTTATTCCTTGTCAACACACTATATACTTCTGCCAGAAATATGCCATCAATGGTACATTGCTTACTCAATACTGAATAAAAAGTGTTGCTATTATGATGCATGACCATCACAGAACATCCTTAATATGACCATTAAATGAACTACAATGTAATCTAAAGGACCATTGTAGGCCACAAACTGGCAAGCCATTGCTAGATTTACATCTTCCTACCAACTATGGCCAGATGATGGCATCCGTGGTGGTACTTTGGTGGCCCAATCATGTACATTGTTGGCTAATTGAAGCATGGCATGCTGCTGGCCGGTGGGACATTTCGCTTGTGGCCCATTTATAGCATGCCATAAATGTGCCAATAATGAAATTGCAGGTCATTGTATGCTTGACCATTTATGTGCCAATTATATGTGTTTGCTGGGTGATAGGTTCTTTGTCTTAGTTTTGGATTTATAATAATGGTATTTTCTATTCCTCTTGAAGATATAATATCTGATACAAAATTTTATTTATAGATGTTTGAGAACGATACATATGATGACAAAATGGACAATATGCATTGCGCAGGCTTCTAATTAAAAATGTATTGGGAGTCATAGTTTCCGATTTTGCGGTATGAATGCTTTTAACAACACGCGGATGCGTCGAACAGTTGCTGGTGACTTCTGACTGCTGTGCGAACAAACCTGTTGATATCTATCTAAAATGTCACTGGTTTGAAGAATTTTTGGAGGTTGCAAAAAAAAAGAATATCTGGAATTGTTGTTTCAAAATTTTGAATCAACAGCAACAGCCTTCAAACCAAAATTGGCAATAAGTAAATAAAGCTAGCATTAAATACATTTATTTCATCGAATTTGTTCCGCCATAAATTTTTTGTTAGTACTGTAATATTATTTCGTAGTTTACAAATTTTGTAAATTAGTAATTTTAAACACGCAAATATTAATTTACTGCAATATTAATCTGCTGGAAAAATAGCGGATGTAAATACTATTTACGATTTGTAAAATACCTTACGGTGAAAGTTTAACTGAAAATGGAAGATGGACTTGTTTGCAGTACTATATCATTTAAGGTAGTCTAATACAGGACTAGGTGTCGTTGGTATTACCCAACGTATTAAGTGTGCAATTCGCATGTGTAGCATTCAGCATAAGAATTATGTTTATTAAATGTGATTCAGGTTAATGACCTTTCAATATTGTTTCTACATATAAAAGCATACACTGTAAAAAAAATCGGTGTGAGTGAAAGCAATAAAGGTTCGGAGTGAATCCAGTGAGTGAAATTATTGAGTACATTTTCTCTCAATATTGAGCATTTTGATCATTTTACTCATTTGTGATTATACAGTATGCGCCTAAAGTATGGAATAAATTCAGTAAAAGCGAAACAAATTTTTTTTGGGAAAAATCCTCGAACAGGTCGATTTCTAATTTAAAAAATACATATTTTAGCATAAAAGACGATTTTCAACCGTCATTTGTTTTCGAGTAATGACGTCATCGACATTTTTTTTTTAAATAGCCACCCCCTATTTTGTTCTTGATTCTGAAAGATCGTTTCATTGTCGATCCGACAGTATTAAAATGTTGTCATCTTACATAGGAAAGTTTTCGAGTAAATGACGATTGAATGATTGAATGTTAGAAAACGTAAATTTTATTAACGTACACTTTGGACTTTAAGTAGCCCCATAAGAAATAGTCCAGGGCTGTAAGATCTGGGGATCTCGCGGGCCATTCTATCGGTCGTCGTCTGTCGATCCATCTCCTAGGAAAACAATTGTACAGAAAATCTCGAACAGGGCGCGCATAGTGCGGAGGTGCACCGTCTTGCTGAAACCATATGGTGTCATCAGGAATATCAGGGTCATTATCGTTAGGAAAAATTACTGCAAGCGCTGGAACAAGGTCATTTTGTAAAAACTCTAAATATCTTTCTCCTGTAATGGTTCCTTCAAAGAAGAAAGGCCCGACTATTCTGTTGTCAACTATTCCAGTCCACACATTTAATTTCTGTGGGTGTTGGGTATGTGTCTCAGCCATCCAATGATGATTTTCCCGACTGCAATACCTGCAAGTTTGACGGTTCACTGTACCATTGAGACAAAACGTGGCCTCGTCTGAAAAAAGTATTTGTCGGTGTAAATCTCTATTTACTTGACATAAATCCATCATAATTTCACAAAAATGTAAGCGGCGGTCGGGATCGTCTTCATTGAGTTCCTGCACAAGTTGTAGGGATGATATTTTTCCTGCCTCAGGATACGTAGCTCTGTGGTCTGATTAATTTCATTGTTTAATGCAACCAATCGTGAAGTATTATGAGGATTATCTACTATACTTATCAAAATGTTCTGTTTGTGATCTTCACTAACGCTTGGACGTCCAGGTTTTGCAATATCTACAACATTGCCAGTTTCTCTAAATTTAGATTCTATCTTACTGACTGTTGATTGACTGATACGGCGATCTGGATGTTTTTCATTAAATAAATCGCAAACTTCCTGCTGCGTTCTAGTCTTATTCCCGCATCCGATAAGAATTAAAGTTTCAATTCTTTGTGTGACAGTTAAATGTGCCATCATACTTTAAATTTTTATATCGCTTACAGTACTTAGAAAGTCGGTATGACGGTGACACTTTGTAAAGATTTACACCTACGTGATCCATAAAGAACTTTCATTTCGAAAAACTAAATTTGATAGGTAACGTTTTTTTTTTGCTTTATTTTAATTGATTTGGGTTTTCTAACATTCAATCGTCATTTACTCGAAAACTTTCCTATATAAGATGGCAACATTTTAATACTGTCGGATCGACAATGAAACGATCTTTCAGAATCAAGAAAAAAGTAGGGGGTTATTATTTAAAAAAAAATATCCATGACGTCATTACTCGAAAACAAATAACGGTTGAAAATCGCCTTTTA